GTGGACATGGAAGTGATAGCATCAATTTGTGTTACAAAATGTAATTTTTGCTCCAGACAGATTCAGACAAAAAAGAGGTATTGAAAGGAGGCAAATAGATTCCTGTGATATTTAGAAAATCAGGGGAGAGAGAGAGAGAGAGAGAGGAGTTCTCAGATTCCTCAGATTCATGGGGTGGACATCTCTGCAGATGATGTCTTTTGTGCAGATGGAAGATACTAGGAGAAGTTTGAGGGAAGGGCATGCAAATTTTAATTAGGATTTCTGTTATGCTGCAGTTAGTTTTAGTAGAAAACTAAAAATATAGATCAGTAGAGTACTGGCTCAAAAATAATAGCGTTGACTTAAAATATAATTCCTGTACCCTTTGTTTACTCCCAGTCAAGGAATGTAATGATTATGTACTATAAACATTTACTAATAAAAATAAAAATTGAAAAAAGAACACATATAGTACAAATAAATAAATGGAATTGTGGAAGGGCACTTACCATGAACATACTGACCCAACTACTAATTCTTTAGGTACCCTAATGTTACATATATTCTTTAATTTATCTTCATGTACAGCTACTTTAGCACCTTGAAGAGCAGTGGATGGAATCTCTTTAGGAGAGTTTTCCTCCTTTGGTGGCAGGAGTCTCTCTCTCTCTCTCTCTCTCTCTCTCTCTCTCTCTCTCTCTCTCCCTCTCTCCTGTGGTCAGAAAGTCTTTTGACATGGAAGAGTGTTTCATGCCACAGGTTAAGGTAGCTGTGGGTAAAGTATGAGTGGGGCTTCATGAACAGGGATTACATTGGGACAGGGGGAAACTTTGGACAGGGACCTATGGTATCAGAGGGAAGTGTGTGATGGTTAACATGCATTTACAACTTGATTGGGTGTGGGATCCCCCTGGGGATTGGTGGAGCACACTTCTGTGTGTATCCAGATGGGCCCTGGAGGTGTGACCTTGGTCCTTGCCCCTGTCTTTATGGGGCTGTTACCTTGCTCTGCTCCCCAGCCACCATGAACTGTGCAGCTTTGCTCTGCTATGCCACTCTGCCATGATATTTCTGCCTTGGTGTCAGACAACATGGACTGAACACTTGAAGCTGTGATTCAAATTAAACCTCTGCTTTTTAAAGTTAAGGGTGTTGGATATTGTGTCCTAGCAATAGCAAAGTTGTCTGATACATTGTAGATAGAAGTGTCTTGTGAACAGGAGTGTCTTTTATAAAACAACCACAACACAGATATTCCTTGCTTTAGGTTTAAATTACATTCCAACAAAACCCATCATAAATTGAAAATAGCATCAAAACTACATTTAACAGAACTCAGCTACCTATCTTTCCAAAGTCATAGCTTAGCAGCACAGTGATGGGTGTTTACTTTTGCAAATGCATAGGGTACTGGAACTTGTCATCTGCTGGCACTACCTCTCACAGTGCCTGTCATCAGCTAGGCAAAGGTCTGTGGTGATTGAGCTTGAGTGTCAACTTGATGGGCTTGGGAGCTGCCTAGTGTTTTAGTAAAGTGCACTCTGGGTGCCACTGGGTGGGTCATGAGTGTGGCCTTGGAGTCTGTGTCTGGTTCCTGGCCACTTCCTCTCTCAGACTGTCCCCCTATTCTGCTTTCCATCTGCCATGAACTTAGCAGCTTTGCTCCACCATGCTCCTCTGCCATGAGCTTCTGCCTTGGAGCCAGCCAACCATCGACTGGATCCTTGAAACCGTGAGCTAGATGAACCCCTCCTCTTTAAGTGTGTCAGGTAATTCGTCCCAGCAATTGGAAAGCTGACTAAAATACAAAATTCAAAATTTAAAGTATTTTTTCTACTGAATGCATATTTTTTCACACCATTATAAGTAGAAAAAGATAACTAGAATCATCCTAAGTTGCCAACTGTCTGCAATGTATTACAGGGGGTGTGGTTGCAGAAGGTATATAGTGGGATTAAAACCAGATCATCATACTCACAGGTGGCAGAAAAGGTCCTTTATGGAGTGAATATTAGCAAACAATTGTGTTCACCACCTGACTGCAAGGGGTGCTAGGGACAGGGCATGATGAAGAGAGTCATGTAGTTAGCAGATATCTGGGGTTAGCAACTTCAGGCAGTGAATGCTTTATGCCTGAAATTCCTTTCAGGGGTTTACTTCCCAGACACTTCCACACCCCAAAATTCCTGACCTTCCTTCCACTGACTGATGTGTGTGCTTCTTCCTGAGTGATGGTCAAGGCATCTGGGCCACAGAGTGACTACTCATTGCTGAAGTTGAGAGTAGAGTTAGTCTCCCTTAAATCACACATGTGCACATGTGCGTCTGAAAGGGGAAGATCTAGAGTATAATTTGTATCTGGTGGGTGTTGCAAGGTAGATGAGAAGCAGTATTTTAATGTCAGCATTATAAAAACATTCATTTCTTCATGCATTCATTTATAACCATTTATTGAGTACATACTATGTGCTAGGTGCTCTTTTGTTCTTTGAGTGTGTCCCCTCTTCTCAGGGTGCTTGCCTCTAAATCTTCTTAGAGAGTGAGCAAATGAGAGAAGGACAGAAGTGCTGTGGGTAATAGGCAGGGGATAAGTGTGTAGGGAATTGTGTGACTTGCTAATAGGTTTGGACACTGAGACAGAATGCATTGAGTGAAAGGCTCTAGAAGGGAGATGAGTGTGGAGGGTCATGTGCAGTTTGTAGGATACCAGACCAGAGGTGAGAGGACCAATGATAAGTCAATGGGTGGCTGAACAGGGATGGCAGTGGGGTTGAAGGAAGGAGGGCAGCTGTGGTAGAAGATGAAATGATTTGCTGTTCACACAAAACAGTGTGACTTGCAATTTGGGCTTTGGTGTCATGCACATCTTCAGAGCTATAAAATATGAGTGCTGCAAGTAAACATCCACTGTGTGACTGTTGCTCCTTTCTGTTTACTAAAATTGAGAATCAAATTTCTGCCTATTCCTTTATCTCCTCAAGGATTGCATATTCAAGTTCTTGTGTTTTATAGACAACCAAATTTCAGGCAAGAAACAACTTTAAAATAATAATGTCCTCCTAGGGTTATCATGAAGATGAAATATTATTCCAAATGCAAACACAATAATTCTGATCTGTACTAAGAGCTTAGTAATAGCTATTTCATGATGTCTGATTTTTAAGAAAATTCTTAAGAGGTAAAATTTGTTAGGATCAAACTGAACATTTTTAATACTTTATACATACATCACCTAATTGTCTTTAGTTTTACAGAAAGGTTGAAGAAATTTGGAGGAAGGTTATAAAATTAGTCAATAATGAATATTTTAAAACGATGATTGCCCATTGTCAAATGGCTAAAATGTACGGAATAGCTTTAGTTATATTTTCTTAAATATGACTGTTGAATATTTTTCATGTGTTGATTGTCAATTTGTTCTTCAGTTATTTGTTTATTTCTACTGCCCACATAAAATGTTTGCCCTGTAGGGGTTATCTATAGAGTAATAGTAGTCTTTTCATTGTCATGGATAATGCAAATTTATTTTTAGATATACTTTTAATTATGGTATCAAATTAGTGAATTTTTCTTGTATGTTTATATTTCTCAGCCCCGTTTGGATGGATATACAGCTATTTCTGTATAGTTTTATTTTTTACATTAAAGTCTTTAATCCATGAAAAATTGAGAAGTGTTTTAAATAGTGGAGTACTGCTCTGCCATAAAGAAAGAGAAACTTGAGTCATTTGTAGGAAAATGGATGCACCTTGAGACTATAATGTCAAGTGAGATAAATCAGGCACACAGGCTTAGCTATCTGTTGGTTTGTCTGTGAGAAATGCAGATTAAAAACAAAAAGCAAAATAGAAGACAGATAATGGGAGGTACAGAGATAGATTCTTCTCAGAGGGGAAGGAGATATAGAGATGGCAGGAAGAGGGAGCGAGAAGGACAGGAGATTGACAAAAGGAATTGGGATATGTTATGTACATGTATCAATGCCACTCAAGGAATGTAAATGTGAAGAAAAGGAAGGAGGTCAGGAGATGGGTGGAGGGAGGAGGAGGGGAGGGAAAGAGGATGAAAAAGGAATTAAGGGAATGTAATCATTATGTACTGCACACATGTACCACAGTGAATTTTAATTTTACTTTTCTTTTATGAGTTCCATACTAGAATATCAAACACACCTGCATGTAGTAAGTTGCTGTCAAATGATTTATTGAAATGAGCAAAGTGAAAACAGACCCATTTAAAAGTCTGTGCCTAAAAGAATGAAGATATATGTCCTTGTATTGCTAACTGAGAACATAGGAAAAGTAGTATTCAGTGTTATGGCTTGAAAAAAATGACAAAAGTTTTGGATACAGATATTAACATAAAGAATATTAAATAGATTCATATGTTAACAGTATTTTTCACACAAATGAACACATTTGTGAAAAATCATTTTGAATTAATTTGCATTCAATATAAGACAAGAGCCCCATCTTATTTCTTACATGTGAATGTTAAACAATTATTGAACAGGTTTAATTTTTATATTAGTGACAGTTGCAAATATGTTTTTTAATAGGAGAGAACCACTGGTGGGATGCTAGTGAAGAAAACTGTTTAGGATATCTTTTAATGCTATAATAATTTTAAGAAGTTAATTTGATTCCCTTCATATCCTTAATTTTCATTAAAATATAATACTGAGGCTTGGCTAAAATAGCATACATCATGATCTGTCATAGGAAGCGGGCTCCTTTGATGCTGTCTCCATACCTCTGAAGGTAAATACGGACATGTTCATTAAAACAAAAACTGTTAGATCACTAAAACTTTGCGACACTAGGGAAGCTCTTATATTGCTGATTTTGAAAACCTCCATAAAATGCATTTTGCTGCATGACCTCTGTATTTTCTAAGTCTAGTACTTGCCTGAATGGCTACAGTCTTTCATTTTTGGAAAGATTTTTGCTGCTGGAAAAACTTCTCCATGCTAAGACTGGCTTCCAGGTTATTGTACAGTCCTATGCAGCGGCACCCCTTTACATCATGAGCTCATCTGGATCTTCCTTCAGTAGCTTGAAGATACCACTTGCAGCCATGGAGGTGTCTTTCTCATAGTTTGGAGTGTCAGAACGTGACTCAATGTCCTCAGGTACAGATTCTGTCGCATTATTTTCAGGCAGGTCTTCTGTTGTGTCAGTAGCTGGCTCTCCTGTGATGGTCACAGCTTCTGAGGCAGTGACAGTGAAGTCATACCTGGATTCAGCTGCCGTAAGCAAAACGGAATTGGTTTCTGCTTCCTTTATTGTGTGTCTCTGCATCCAAACATTGACTGCATAGGTGGACTCTTCATCACTTAGGGTCTCTTTGAAGTTATCTTGGTCTTTTTCAGCAGAGGTAGTCAGTTCAAACACAGTGATGAACTTCTCCTCCTCAGTGTCACTGAGTTTAGCTACAGGAAGGAAGTCTCTAGTAAGCAATCAGCACAGATTCTTTGTGTGTCCGAGGAAGTGGAGCAGGTCACAGGGTGAAGTCATTCGTGAACTGGCTAACTTGGTTTGAGGATTTTAAAACTTTTTTTCATCATCTGACATTAGTAAAGCTTAAGTCATGATAAGACATGGTGTACAGGAAGGTCTTGGTGTTTCTTGGGGGGCGGATTTCTTTGAGTATAGAAAGAAAAGAAAGGATAAAGAGCTCAGCCTTATAACTGCTGAGAACTATCTTGTAAAACCTGGTATTTGTTACATTAAATAGTATTGAAATTGGGGACAAAATATTCACTTTTATGAGAATTTAACCTTCAGTTATCTTTGACAAATATATGATTATAATATCTTCAACTGACACGATAATTAACATAGTTAATTCAGGAATTACTTTTGTGGTCACACTAACTTTGTTTTCATTTAGTGTTACTGTAAGGTGAATTCACATTGATTTCAGCATCATTATTTCTCATCTAAGGGGAATATGATCAAAATTCTCAGTGTTTTTCTAAACTGTTGACCTTAAAAGGACACTTCAGATTGAATGTGTGTCATCAGAGTGCAAGAAGTATATGGTGAAAATGTTACTGGACTGCATAAATTTGAGCAGTGTTTAGGCTAACTACTTCAGAAAATATGATATAATCTTCTTTGATGAATAAATCATTGCTACCAAGGATATTATCTGATTTACAGACAGAGAATCAGATTCTACAGATAAATTTTATTTTATTTAAATGATAGTTTCATCTGTTGGAGTGTCTATTAGTTGGTATATTTTATGTTTTTTCAGGAAAGTACTAAAATCATTAGGTTTTTTGTTAGTACATGTTTGCAGTGCACAACGATTATGGTCATATGGGGAATTGGTACACGTACATAACACATCTTAATGTTTTCTTCTACTTCTTCCCTCCATCTCTTGTTTCCCTTTCCATTTGCAGAAGATTATATCTATTGACATATCTCTTAGAGTAGATATCTGCTTTATACCAGGAGCTGTAACAAAACCTTACTTGGCTAATAGGTATTTCTTTCTTGTTCTAAAAATTTGAGATGCTTGACTCAGTGATGATGGCTTTTTAAAGCTCTAATATTTCAAAGTTCATGGTAAAAAGTCTTTTTAAAAAATGCAAAAATGGGGAACCTACTAACAAAAATGGGAGATTTCTTACTAAGGCTATAGGAAGGCACATTTATGGTTTTCAGGGATGCTTTTCAAGCAAAGGAGTCCTCAGAAGCAGGCCTTGAAAATTCTGCTGTCATAGTGATATCCACCATTAGGCTTTGTGTGGAGCATGTCTTGGGATTCATCAGGAGAAATGTGTGCAATTTAAAAGAACCAACTCTTAGACAAGTGGTATCTCTCAAGTACAATAGAATTCTTGTTTTAGAAAAACCTTGGATATCTCCAGATTTTTAAAATTTATTGGACAAAATACAGTTCTTAATCCATAGTTGTGATTATGACCACTCTAGAGTTACTGAGGAAGTTTCATGTCCAGTATCTGCACTCACAGTTTTCCATCTTCATGAACAGAGAAAGAAACAGAAGGAGCAGCCTCACTTTCAGAACTGTTTACATCAGTATCCACATCTGCTGTCCCATGGGGTCTCTTCTTCCCTGTCCCCAAGGAAGAGGCCCTTACAGAAGAGTCAGTTGTGAGCTCAGATGTGCTTCCCTGCTTACAGGCTCCTCAGGGATATTCTTTAGAATAATTGTCTTTGTCTGTCACTGAGGAATATCAGCCCCTAAAAAGTGTTTTCCTCAAGCTTCTTGTTAGCTTGTGGTACAAGAGAAATTTCTTGAAACCTAGGTAATATTTTTTCTATCTCAACAATGAGCTCCATGATGACATTTGTAGTTTCTGAAGCTTGAAATTCAGTATTTGCTGCTCTGATAATTGTTTCCACTAGGAAAATTATCTCTGGGTAAGGTGAAGATATTTTATTAGTAGCAATAATAGTAACTACTTCTGTGAGCAGAAGTACTCAGCCATGGAATTGGTTTTGTAAGGAACAGATCTACCTGGAGGGAATCCTTGACTATAGGAACGCTTCAATAAATTGCTTGCAAGATGCAGTTATAATCTGTACTGGCCAATTTATCGCCAGCAATTAGATTTTATTCCCTACACAAAAGAGCTAAATGGAGAGCATTTGTTTGAAGAAAGAATGACCCCAAATACCCTGATTGATTGAGCATTTACTTTGTAAGGGGCCTTTCAACCAGTTTCCAGCTTTCACTTATCATCAGCCTTGTTTAGTAACACATGAAGACAAAATCCAGGCTGGGAGAGGCTGAATCTGAGGAAGAAACAAGAGCTCCTAGAGCTTTCTCCTTTATTATAGTGGGGGAGACAAAAAGCATCACCTCTAATGAGTTGTTTCTGAGCTAATCGCAAAACAAAAGAAAGGAAAAGGAATGTCAGTTGGCTTTTGTGCTTGAATCTTTCAGGTATGAAGCTCACCTGTTAGCTTATCTGCAAAGTGAAAGGGGCAAGCCTCATATTTTAAATATCCTGAAGCCTTCTAAAGATTAACTCTCTAGCATCTAGTGTCATTTTCCTTTAAAATATACCTTCTTTTTCTGCTTAATAACAAAATTTTAATTCACTATAATGGCATTTTACATATATTGCCATTTACTAATCTACATATGAATTCACCTTAATAGGCTATGGTTTCCTTAAGGATAGAATTAATTGTGTTTGGTTTAGTTTATGAAAATATATATTTATAATATAGGAAAAGAAAGTAGTATTTAAAAGTCACTTATAACTATATTTTTTCTTTTCTGCATGATTTATATAAATACATGCTGACCTCTTAGTCATCCACTTTCTTTAATAATCTTGACACTGGTAAATATTCCTGTTATCTCTAGTTTCTGAAGCTAGCAATCTATGTACATGGAATCAACCAGGATATTTCACCTTTATTGTGTCAATTGCTGGGGTTATTCATTGATGCATACGCTAAAGCTGCCATATAAATCTAAACTTACATAGTTATTGACTTTCAGGCATTTTTTTATTCAAGGCATAGTGTAACAGTACTTTAATTGAATAATATAGAGGTTCAATCTGAGCTCAGTTGCCTTGCTATACCTTCCCACTCCAAGACATCCAAAAATTTACTTACTGGTAATTTAAACTTTTTAAAATCAGAGGTTTCTTTCACACAACATAACTCTAGAATTCACTGATTATAATATACAAATCTTACCGGATAGAAAGTCGAGTAAGTTTGAATATTTGTCATTTACATTTTTTTAGGCATCCTCAATTTTCCCTGTCCTCTGGATCATCTTAATACTCTTTTTAAGCTGACATTCTTTTATTACACATTGGAACAAATACCAAACCTCTACCATTATGTTCAAGACCACCACTGGATTGTTCTTACAATCAAGCAGAGTACTGATGTACAAAGCATCTACATACATACTAATTACCATTAGATTAAAACAAGGTGACATGAATTGAACAACTATAATGTTATCACTTTAGTAGTTTGAAAATACTGTTCCTATGATGTTAAATATTGCTCTTTAAGGAATGGATGTAATTGTTTGGAAAGCCAGTGTAAAAAATGTGCTTAAGCATGGAATGCTCATTCAATTAGAGATTGTATTTGCACATATTTTTGTTTCAAGTAAGCTGCCAGCAACAGATACAGAATCCCTTGTGGGGGATCTTTCCAGTTGATCTTTGCAAGATCTAAGATAGCTAAAATTTCTGCCTCCTGGTTTTCAAAGTTGAAAGTGGCACACACAAAAAATCAAGGCTTACAAAGGCTTACAAATTCATCTTGAAAAATTTCTTATAGTCCAAGAAGACCTAATTCTTTGTCTTTTGCTATAATTTTATACATAAGATGCAGCAGAGGCAGCTGCAACTTAGGCTGTGTTTGTGGTGACTGTGACTGCGGTCTCTCCCACTGGAGTTGTAGCTTTAGTAGTTGAGAAACCAGGTTCAGTATTACAGGCAAGGGCCATTGGAATAGGGGTGGCAGTAACTGGGATACTGGTACTATTATAGACAGCTAAGTGAGATAAAAATTAGTAGGTAATGAGAGACTGGGCCCTAGTGGAAGTCAGTGTAAAAACTGAGACACACTAAGATTGTGGCTGGAGGCAAATCTGAAGAGAGCAGGGCCTCAAGATGGAAACCCAATAGCCAGGCCAGCAAGCCTCCCTAGAGATAAATGCCAACTTGAGAGTGTATTGTAGTTAGTGCTGTCTGGCACAGTGAACCCAGATAGGCATCAGACTCATAGAAGGTGCTGGACCCATACTCTCTTCCTTTTCAACGATGCTTTTGTTCTATCCTTGCTACGTGATTTGTTTTCCCATTGGATAAATATTAGCTAAGTAGCTATACTTGTAGTCCTGTAGGTTGATTGTAGTTTAACTCACATTGTGACTTTGCTGTAGAAATTACCCCTGACAAAGAGCCTCAGTGGCCACCTGCCCAGGACCCATCCTAGAAAACCAGAGCTGTTCTTAATATTATTTTCAATAAAATGCTCCTAACCTGCACATTTAGTTCATGACTTCATTCCTTGATGTTGTGAGATCATGACAGCTAACAGGCTGGGAGTTATCTTCCTTGTCACAATGTTGGCATTTGTTGGGACCCTGGAGGCTGATCTTGTAGTCTCAATATTTGTGGAAGCTGCAGCTATTGCAGTGATGGTTGTTATAGGAATTGTGAAGCAGCTGGAGCAGTATATATAAAAGTAGTGCCTGATTCTAAGGCTCTGTAGTAAGCTATAGAAGGTGTAGTGGCATCCGTGGGTGACATTGTGGTATCTCTGCCTGGAGTGGTAGCAACTTCAGTGGTTGTGATATCTGCTGATTCTGTGGAAGTCTTCCCCTGGAGTTGTCACTCCTTGAGCCTGGGTGTTTGAATCTAGAGTCATCAAAAAGTATAAATGAAGAGCAAAATACAATGGTACCTCGATTCATGAATTTAATTTGTTCCATGATTCTGGGGAAGAGGGCTGCGGTCAGGTTCATCATTGGATTCAGAGTTCATGAACGGAAGCAAAATTTTGCCAAATGCTTCTGTTTGCAAGCTGAATTGTTTGCAAATAGAAGGGTTCGTGAACTGAGGTAGTACTGCAAAAGACAGATAATAGGAAGTAGGGAGCTGTATGTTTCTAAAAGGGGCAGGGGATCAAGAGATGGAGGGAAGGAAGAGGAACTTAGCAGACTTAGTTGTTTATTGATAAATTTAGACAAAGAGCTTTTTTTTGAAAAAAAAGTTTCTTTATATTTTTCTTTCTAGCCAGAGTGTTTTTGGAAACTGGAGGTTTGCCTCCTCTTGCCTGGCTTGACTGCTTCCTGGAAGTTTAAACAAGAAGTGTTTATATTGATTTGGTCTCTCAGGGAGGCTAGTAGTGTTTAGTACTGAGTTAAGTGCTGCAGATTAAATTATTTCTCAGAAGGTGAAGTACAGGTTTTTTTGGGAGTCTTTAACACGTTAGTTTTACCTGTAGATGTTTTGCTTTTTGTGGCACCTGGTCCTGGCTGAATGAGCTTTTCCTTGGTAGGTGTGGGTGCTATCTTTTTGGTTTCATGTAGACATTTCTTTGTGGCTTTGAAAGCTGCTCTTATTGATGCTGCCTCAGTTGGACCCTTCTTGATTGGAGTTAATTGTTTATTTTTTGCTTATTTGGAGTATTTTGGGGGGTAAAGTCTTTTGGGGGGCTGGTTTAACTATTTTTGCCTGATTTAATTTTTTCTTGGAAGACAGAGTTCCTTTAGGTTTACTTGGTTCTTTCTTTTTGGACTTGTATAATTGTTTTTCTTAGATGACGTAGAAAAGGAGTTTTTTCAAAGTCTCTAAGGATTTCTTCTTAGGCAGAGGTATTTTGGAAGCTGCTTTAATTGTGAATTGTAACTGTTTCATAGCAGGTATAGACTGAATTTTTTTTTTTTCACTTTTTTAAAGCTGAAGAAGATTTTACTGTTACTATTGTCAGTAGTCTGTTTCAGAGTTTAACTTCCCTTGTGGGCTGTTTTTCTTCTTAGCTCAGATGAATGGAGGAGTCAGCCCTTCTTGGCAATATAATTTTCTAAGAACTGGCGTGAAGATTTTGTTTTGTGATGGCTACTCAAAGTTTTCTTTACCTAGAATTTGAGGATAACCAGCTTTCTGCTTTGTTAGTCAGTACAGAAAGGAAATAGCTCTACAGACTTGGATTTTTGAGTATTAAAAGATGACGATAAAGCCATAATGGGGAACTATGGACAGGTGAGACAGATGCATGAGAACAGATTTGGGTCTCCTTGTGATCCAGGTGAGTGGAGATCATTTACTGATATCCTGGAATTTGGGACTGTTGACTGTTGATTACAGTTTTTACTGCATAGCTCCATGGCTGCTGACTCTAATGGATCACAGGGGGAGAGAATAGAAGGGATTATCAAGTGAGACATGGAATCAGTTATTGTATTGTATTTTCATTTTAGTTATAGAAACTGATGTACTCTTGATATAAGAAGGTGTTTTGTTTTTAAAGTATGCTATGGTTTATAATTGGATGTCCCCTAAAAGCCTCATGTATTTGGAGATGGGGGACTTATGGATAGTGACTGGTTTATAAGATACTACAGCTGGCTTGGTATTGGGAGGTGGGGTCTAACTGGAAGACATGGGTCACTGGGGGTGTGACATGGGAGAATGTATCTCCCTTCCTACTTCTCTTTTCATTCTCTCTGCTTCCAGGCTGCCAGCTTCTCCTCTGCCAGTCCTCTCTGCCATGCCATCCTGTCTTGGAGCCAGCCAAATATGGACTGAAACTTCTACAAACTGTGAGCCAAATAAACCTGTCCTTTTT